GGCACTGTCACTTATATTTCGTGACAGTGTTGGTGGACAAGCAGCCTTAGTCATTGTTCGTCAATTTTATTTTAGTATTCAATCATAAAACTAGCGCCCCCTAGCGGTGTGAGCGTGCACCACAAAGGGTGGGAGGATTAATGGATTCTATTCATAACATAAAGGAATGTAATTTCATGTTGTTATATCGATTCTATAACATCAAAGCTTTTGTTAAGCAGTAATAAGAAATAATATGTCTCAGATCTTTGTACTAGCGACGAAAATCTTATTGGATAAGCTTATTCTAACAATAACGATATTGTGTAGCTTTGAGGATTAATTTTAAGGTATAGAAATATTAGGAAAAGTAACTTTTTTTAGACATTATTAGTTAGAATCCTTTGGCGTGCATGGCGCGCTTTTGTCAAAGTTCAGTGTCAGAATGATTAGTGATGGGACATAAACGTCGACATCTTCGTAAGGCTAGTGTTGCGCCAGTACATCGGCACAGTGTCGGATTTTCTTCCACTTTATTGAAAATGCGGTAGATAAATATTAACGCAGTTATTTTTAAAAGTGGTAAATTATAGTAACAGAAATAGTGCATTGAAAACAAAAGGTTTTATTAAAAAAATTATGACGATTGAAGGAAAAGTCCAAGGTCATCTGTTTTAGAATTAAGTTTTATATCGTTAAACTTTATCTAATACGAAACTTTGTCAATTTGTCTTCGCCCATTCCAGCCTCTTTAGATTTATCATCCAACTTGAATCATAATTTTGAATGTTGTAACTTTTTAAGAGTTTTATGTTAAAAAATTTAATAGGAGCAGGAATTATACGTCTGTCTCTTTTACTCTTTCTACATTTTACATCTTTCGTATCGTGTAGTAAAACTTTTTTCTTTGATTTTAGACTTGAGCTTTTACAACGAAATGTGCGCGTAATTTTACGATATCTTGATACCAAAGTTTTCCGCCTCATTATTATAATTATTCTGCTTACATGAACAACTTGAGCTTCTCTCAAAGCTTTTAAGAAGGGATTTAATCGTCAGCTTATCACATTACAAAGTAAATTAAGCATGTTTAAGTTGAATGTTTAAGTCCCTGTCAGCACTTGTACAGTCTATAGATTGAAATATTAATTATGTGTTTACTGGTTTTGCGAAAACTGAAAAGAAAATGAAAAATCTCAATATGACACGAAACCCTTTGCCAACTGTTACTGACGTCAAAGTAATTGTTGGTTTGCATTGCACAAGACTCTAGTACAAATATATATCGCCATCTCTATCATACTCGACGAAATAAAAGACGTGTTTCGGCAGTGGAAAGCCACGGTAAAAAAAGCAAATTTATATTTATCGACGGCACGATAACGTCAAAAATAAAAATTAAATATTGATGTCCCAACAAAGGGTTTAGAAGATAAAACTCAACATGATGTATTTGCCTCTGTATCGTGACGTATTCATACATTCGACTTCAAAAGTGTCTCAGGTCTGAATAATGTAGATAAGCTCAAGAGAACGCCAAATTTAATTCGAAGCCACGCAGTATGTTAATCCCCGACTTTAAACAAATTATGTTCAAAGTTTTGGAAACAAAGATGTGTCTTTGTTTAAGTAATCTACAAATGAGTAATACAACCCTAGTTGGAACGTTTGTTTTAATATGATAAATAAATTCACGGTCTATGTCTTCTATGACATAGGAAACTTATAAGATATTTAACATCATGCTTCGGCTCTAAACGCCGCTGTTATGTAGTAAAAGTCAAAATCGAATATTAATATTACACAATATTGTACACAGTTTATCGATATAGCATACGTACATCACTATTGCTATAACAAAGATTAACACAAATTTATTTGTCCATACACATTTAGTTGCTGTTAAAATAAATTTTCTCCAACTAAATATGGTCCTTGTTAAAAGATTTGATTTTTTTTAATGTCTTTTTTTAAATAAAATAAATAAATACACATGTTTCATACGAAAATAAATATTTGATTGAAATACAAACATTTGCTTCCAATTTCTGTTTATCGACGCTAAAAATAAGGTATAATCGTGTTTATTTGTAATGTCCTGCGACCCTCGTCTCACAATGGCCCCGGGGGACGGACCAGAGCTCGCCACTTCTATCGTTCGACATATCAAATGTCCTTCTCACACATATTGAGAATATAAGATAAAGTTAAATGGATTTCATACACCAAAGGAATCATACTACAGTACTTGAAACTAACTTGGGTTAATATATAATAATACTATGCTATTGTGTGTGTATTTTTAATAAATAGGTGTCAATTATTTCATATAAAAAGTTAGTGGTAGATTTTGAATGTTGCATTTGTGCCATTAGGGGGAAGAATTGAAAGCACTAAGTAGGTAGCGCCAGCGCAAGATGTGGTGAAAGTTTTTATACGTCAGTTTATAGATTAAAAAAAGGTTTACGTTATTGAAAATATCGGAATTGGAAAATCCATCCACAACTAGAAAAATACATTTTTTTATTATATATAAATAATGAACTATCTTGAGCGATGATTGATGATGATGATTTGATGTACATAAGTCGTTGCTATGACAACAATCCGCAAAGTAATTGGCACATAAAGTGAAGTGTTTTATTTATATATTTGTATGTATATAAGTTGTATATATATATTTAGTGCTATTCCCACTCTTGAGCTGACATCTATAGTGAGCAAAAGGCAGTTTTTATTTCCATTTACATACTAAAAAGACCATTACATAATAAAAGAAACATTTTAAAAATATTTTTAAGTCTTAAATATATCGGCACATATCAGCTGTATATGTAATTATATTTATTGTCTAATCAGATTCCAGGGCCGTATCGTACTCTAGGGCAGCGGTCTCCGACAAATTGGTTTTTGATCCCTTCCCATTTCCCGACAACTAACGTTTAATAATAGTTAGAAGAGCGATGTTATAGCTTATAATAATGAATTGCCTTCACGACCTTGTTGCTATAATATGATAAGAATATAAAAATTCAACTGATTAAATACCATCCATACAACTCTATCTATCCTCTTTCACACATTTCTATACTTTTTTCAGTGTTCCTGTTTTGAGTGTCTTAAATCTTACTAATGTTATTAATGCGAATGTTTGGATGGATTAATGGATGTTTGTTTGAAGGTATCTACGAAATGGCTGTAAGAATGTCACGGAATTTTGACATAGAATTAAAACATAGTCTGGAAGAACACATAGACTACTACTTAAGTTTGTTTTTAATTCCGCGGCAACGCAGTCGCGCGCCATCTAGTAATGTATATTAATAATTAAGCTTGTAATATAATAAGTGTTTTTGCTATGTTTTAAATGATGAAAATCCTTTCAATGTGTTAGATTCAGGTCAGTAATATTGTAGGTCTCGGTAGGTAATTATGTTCTCGTTTTCTCGAAAGCCTCGACAACCTTAATGAGTATTTAATGAAATATAAAGTATAGCTTAACTCAGACACAGAATTACTTTACCTTAAAGTATTTTACAGCGAGTTATTTTAAAATGAAATACACGTGTTTAGTAATGCTATGAGAACACAGTAATACAGGTCCCTTAATGTTGGAGTGTATTTGTTTCGTAATAAGTAAATTTCCAGATAATTTAAGTGTTTTCCCTGCTATGTATATAATAAAACTGTAATTAACAAAACAAAAGCAGTTTAGGTGTAATGTTTTGAAAGAAAACTTGTAGAGCTCATGATTGCTCAAAAGAAATATACCCATGATATATAAATTCATATTTTTATAATACAGTTAATTTCCTCTGCGATATAGGAAAGAAGTATTGCTTAAAACATTTTCAACTCTTTATCTAAATCAGTTATGATAAATTATTCATCGTAACAATTGATACTGAGAGCTTGTCTTCATTTATCGTTGATTTCTGAGACCAAAATCCCTGATTAGTAGAATAAATCAAGGTATTAATATGCACATCTTTTTATAATGTCAGGAAATTTATGATAATTCTTTCATAAACCTTTACTATGTTGTTTGCTATAAAAATATATTTACTACATAACATTTTGGCCGCTACATTTCGCCATAAAATAAAACGCCTACCTTTATGTTGGCTTTTTATGATACATAAGGCTATTATAAATTACACTCTGTTATATCGGTTAGGATCACATGGTTTTCTTTAAAGGCTTCTAAGCTTTGTTTATTTGTCATCATATCCTTTGATCTTAATACATTGGCTAATGAAGAAATGTTTTAAGAATATCTTTGAAGTATGCGCTAACTAATAAAAATGCAAATGTTTCCGTGTATAGGTAGATGGATGGATTTTTATAAGAAGATATTTTAAGAACGGCTACAAAGATCTCGCTAAAATTTGGCATAGATGTAGAGCAAAGTCTGGAAGAACACAAAGGCTACTAATTATGTTTTATTTAGACGGAATCGTGAGTGACAGATTGTATATCATAAACGAGAGATAATTTTCAATTAAGTTAATATCGATTATCATTAAGCGAATTAAGTTAATTTATATAGGTAAGTAGAGTTCTTATAATTCTGAACGTTATCGCTTTTTGAATATTTTAGGATAACGAAATAAATTTGAGTGGCGGTCAAATTTACATTTTCATAAATTTACCTGCCAAATGAAGTGGTGTGCGCATGTGTAGGCTTCACCCGCGACCAGTCTCGCTTCAGGCGCTGAAACAAGCAGTCGAGAGAGCTTTCAGCTTTCAGAAGCTTTCAGCATTTCGTCGCTTTACAAAGTTTCGAAAGTATTTTCTGATTAAACAAACAGTATTAGAAATCAATAAGGTTTTCAATTCAATTGTAGATTGTTTTAGGAGTGATATAAACATTTTTGTGTTAATATTTTTCAGTATAGTAATAAAAGTGTAGGTAAAGAATGTTAAGTTACAATTAAGTTTTGATAAGTCACTGAAGTAATAAACTTAAGTTTATTGTATATTTAGTAAGTTGTCATTGAACAAGTTTTAAGCAGTTTTAAATAGGTTTTTTCGTGTAAAGTGAACTTTGATACACAATGTGGTGGATCCTGCGTCGAGCTGGCTTGACCGGCGCGTCCTTTTTCAGTCAGTCCTCCGGCACAAACAACAATAATGCTGTTAAAACAGGTAAATGTAATGCGTAAATTTGAGACCCATTTTACCTTAATCGTTCTAATAATATAAATGCATATATTTAGATGGATGTTTGTTAGGATGTATCTCCAGAACGGCTTAATGATTTTGGTGTAATTTGCAATAATATAGAGCATAGTTTGGAAAAACATATAAGCTATTAATTACATGATTGTAACCTGCACATATCTGAGAAGAAATTCAAAAAGATATGTGTGAAGTCAACCAACCTGCAGTTGTCCCGCGTGGTTGACTATGGCCTAATCACCCTTAACTTAGGGTAGGCTCCGAACCCCTCGGTGGGGACGTATAGTAAGCTGATGATGATGATGATGATGAATACTGCGTGTATGGAGTGGCACTGGTGTATGTGGTGGACCAAAGTTGAATATGTTGAGATTAGAGAAACAAAAGAAGCATAAACTTAGTAAAAAACTTATTAAGATCTACAGTTAGTGTTAGTTTCTAAATATGAATATTTTTTTTTATAGGCGAAGGGGGCAAACGAGTAACGAATCGTCTAAAATTATTTATTGTGAATAATGAAATCACAGTTGTTGTTAATTTGTTCTATGCTTTGAGTCTTGTTTATCACGGTGGATATAAGCTCGTGTAAATGGCGTTTTATAGCTAATAGCTAAGATAAGATAGTACGTGATTGTTATAAGCAACTAATCAGAGGTTTTTTATTAGTTGATAACAATCGAGTAGTGTTTTATTATATTGAAACTTACTAATATTATAAATGCGAATGTTTCATGGATAGATGTTTGAAGGTATTTCCAAACGGCTGAACGGATCTCGATGAAATTTGGCATACATATAGATTATAGTCTGAAAGAACCCATAGACTACTAAATAAGTTTTTTTAAAACCGCGAGGACGGAGTCACAGGCGGCTGCTAGTCTGCAACAACGATTCCCTTGATGACTACCTTAGGAATTTTAGTTCAGCAGTGAATTAGTGAAAAAGTTATTTTTTTACAGTTTTTAGTTAATCGTCTTTTGTTTATTAGTAGACAAACGTATATAGAAAACACAAGTAAAATTGCTAAGATGAATTTTCTTCTTTAAAAAGATAGCACTGTGTTTCAAGTTAGCAATCTAAAACAAATCATATGGCTGGATGAGACCAATAATAGAGTTTTATTTTGCAACTAAACCTGCGTAAAACGTAAGTTATTATATTTCTTTTATTTCTTAGATAAAATAAAACAGTATTGAAATCTGAAATGGGTTTGAGAGAATGTCTAGTGGTAATAAACAATTTGTCTTACTTATATTATAAATACGTTTTGGATGGATGTTTGATAAAAGGTATTTTCATAACAGCTGCATGGATTTCATTAAAATTTGGCACATATGTGGAACATACACTGAAAGAACACATTTGCTACTAATAAAGTTTTTTTTATGATTGACTTTTATGGTTGACTATGGCCTAGTCCTAACTTAAGGTAGACTCCGAACCCTTAATGGGAACGTATGTTGATGGAAGTTTTTTAACCGAGTTGTGGGCGTCTGTTAGTATTTAATAAACCTAAATGTTATTATATACACGCAGCTTCTATAGTTACCAATATTTAACATAACAAATTGTTAGAACAAAACGCATTGCAATTTTAAGATGTTTTTCGCAAACCTTCGTAGTATACTACCGGGGTTTTAACTAGATGGAATAAGACACAAGCAAGAAGTTGCTTAAACGTACACAACACGATTCTTGTTTGTTTAAATTAGCATTTACTGACTACTCGGATAGCTGTGCGCTGATTAAAATTATATTTATCGTAAGCCATCAGATTGCTGTGGGAATTGTAGCACGCAGTTGTTGGTAATAAATAACGTTTGTATATTGATCCGCTTATTGACTTTGTCATTTATTCATTTGTTTTCAAATGTCAAACATTATGCAATTATTAAATTATACTAGCTGTCGGTCGTGACTCCGTCCACGCGAAATTAAAGAAAAACTTAATTAAGAGCCTATGTTTTCCAGATTATTCTAGACAGTGATCTACATCTATCCCAAAATACATCCAGATTCCTGAAGCCATTGTAAAGATCATACAAATATTCATCTAACCATCCGTTCAAATATACATACATCCAAATTTTTACATTAATAATATTAGTAAGTTACATGCAACTAACCAATTGTGAAACCATCTGTTTAAAATTTGCCTAACCACATTACTGAGAGGCGGTAAACTGCATTAGATCACTCTACTCATATGAGCTTAATATTATGGACGATAATATATAAAGAATAAAATGTTTGTTTGTCTTAAGCTACCCGAACGTCGCCGCGAACATTTTCACTAAGCTTATCCATCAGATATCTGCGATATTATGCGAGAACACGCGCTCACATCTCACTTTAAAATTGGTGGATAAGTTTATGCATTAATGACAAGCCAAATTTTATATCGAACTGTTCATATAAAGTATAAAACAATATGCACACATGCTTTTTATAGATAACTAGCTGTCGCCCGTGGCTCCGTCCGCGGGGAATTAATCTACATCTATGCCAAATTTCAGCGAGATCCGTTCTGGAGATACCTTCTAATAAACATTCACCCGTCTAAATATTCGCATTTGTAAGTAAGTAGTTTTACACATTCGTATGTCGCTTACAGTATCGTACCATTATAAAAAGTTAGAAATCCTAATAATGTCTTCAAACGAAAAAGAGCTTTGATAAAATATTACATATGTATATTTTAGAAAAAATATGTCACGACATTTTTATGTATTTCTTACGTATTTCATTTGAATAAATGAAATTTATTCAAAACATTGCTAAAATAATACTCGATTGAAAGCATTTAACAGTAAAATATAGAAATAACAATATCTTTGTTTATATTAACTATAATATTGGATTTAGTATGAAGCAAGCTTTCTAATATCCATTCGTTTGATTCGAACAGTTTTTATGGATCGTATTACATTGGAATGAGTTTTCGATTGGACCAGATATTTTTCTGCAGACGATAGTGACCGGAGTATTTGGCTTATTTATTTATTATATGTATTTACATTTAATATAATACATTATTTGTGGTTTTCATATGAGAATACGGGATGAGATATTTAAAAAGCTGATATATAAACACGGCTGAACAGTCACGTATATTCGTCCGGTGGCGGCACCGACTAGTTTCGAGCCCAGAGGGGGCACTTCATCAGGATGAGTGGTACTGATACTGGTACTGGCCCGTCGCTCAGTGAGCGGTATATCAGTTCAGTATAATGTCTCACGAAAGTTTGAATAATGAGATATTTACTATGAAACTTTAGAATATATATAGCCTGTATAAATAAATCAACATTGTTTTGACTAAGTAAACTTTGCCCTTATATACTTAACGTAGAATATTAATAGATGGTTTCTGAAATCAAAAGCTCTGTATAAAACATATTATCATCCTTGTTATAATTTTTGACAAAACAGAGATAACAATATGTTTTAAATTGAATTTTGGTTTCAGAAACTCACTGTATTTTTAATATGAAAATGTTAGCAGATTTTCGTTAATTTACTAATATTTCTTGTACTATACCAATTAATTTCTATGCTTGTGCTAGGACATGGTTACGACAATAATGCAATAGCAGGATTCGAACTCTCGACTACGCTATCGGAAATCCGTATCATGAACCAATGTGGTACTTATTTAATAAAACCATGAAGCTTTTAGTAAATAAATACGAGAAAATTTCAATATTTATTCCCCTACCAAGTAGACCTATTCAAATAAGCGATAAACAAATATTAAATTAAAATGTGTTCAGTTCATGAAACATGGCGAAAGTTTAATCATGACGCCGCATAATGGCCAACAGATGTGCGCGTTCAGTTCTATTCATACTGAATTATGAATTGGTAAAACTTTATCTTTCTATACTCCGCTATCATTTGGCTCACATAAAGTATATAAGAAACTGGATTCTCACCACGGTTTAGCATTTGAGCTCCCGATATTTCTTACGAACTTTATGTTACTATAACTTTGAAAGTTAAAATATTTTTTGGCTCTACCACTTTTGTATACAACAAGCTGTCGCCCGCGATTCCGTCCGCGCGGGATTAAACTAAACTTAATTACTATCATATATGTTCTTCCTGATCATATTCTTCATCTATTCCGAATTTCATCGAGATCTATGCAGCCGTTTCGGAGATACATTCAAACAAACACTTTCTAAACATTCGCATTTATAATTTTAGTAAGAAGTAAGATTAAAATCATTCGAAAGAAACATTTCTTTTCAATAATTCTTTGTCGAATTTATCTAATTTTCAAATTATTCGATTCGAAATGAATAATTCGGACACTTCTTATAAAAACTTAACATAGCAATGATCTGGAAGATATCTCATAAATGTCAACATACAGCCTGAATCTTGTTAATATATTGCTCGAAGTAACTTGAGGTAAGTTAAGTGACGTCACGCAATATAGTTTAAATTTCATTGAGAGTTTAATAATTCATGAGCTCGTCTACGACATAAGGCTTTGAGACATCCACAGATGTGTCATTCACAACATTACCAAGTACAGTAAAGGCGGCTTTATAATTGATTACTGATACAGCTACGCGTCGAGGCTTTTGCAGGATTAAAGTGGAATTTAAATAACTCAATATTTTAATACTTTTAACCTTTAAAATTCGGGTCTTTTTATTTAAAATTCGATTTATGATACTCGATTAAAATTTATGATTTAAAAATCGATTCTGATAATTCCACATTGCCACGAATTGGTATAATAATTTTATAATACTATTTGATGAATAAAGTGATTATATATTTTTTTATTTATGCGCTGATTAACCTATGTATTTTTTGTTGTTCTATTTTTTTTTCATTCATCATCAGCTCACTATATGTCCCCACCGAGGGGCTCGGAGCCTACCCTAAGTTAAGGGTGATTAGGCCATAGTCAACCACGCTGGCCAAGTGCGGGTTGGTTGACTTCACACATA